TTTTTTTTTTCCATGTCATTAGTTAAGAAAAAAAAAAAGAATTGATTTGCTGTCATTTTAACGTGCCACCTGTCATTTAACTGACGGAAGGACCATTTTGGTACCGAAAATGAAAGTCTGAGGATAATTTTGGTACTTTTTAAAGTTGAGGGACAATTTTGATACCAAAGTGACAAGTTGAGGGACCAAAATGGTACTTAAACCTTTTGTGAATTATCAGAGAAATATGCAGATCAGAGAGGGAGGAATCACCAGAGGAAGAAACTGAGGAAAAAGGAAATGTAACCGTAATCGGAGTCTGGGCTTTTTGCTGGAGAAGATGGCATCTTCTTCAACAAAGAATCCATATTCTGATCTAGGTTCTCCATAGAATTTAATTTTTTTAATAAAAGTAATTAATATATCCTCTAGTTCAATACACTCTGTAACACTTATTGGTTCAGTTATTAAATTTTGTAAACTTTAGTTTTTTCACTTTTGATTCAAATTTTTAAAAAATAATTTTTTAATAAATATATTGTAAGGTGTGTTGAATATAATGATGTACCAATTATTATCTTTTTCGTAATTATGTTGTTTTACAACAGTGATATAGTTATAATATCACGTAGGAGATTATAAGTTTACAATAGTAATATATCATTAAATAAGTGAATGTAAATAATATTATTGGTAAATTTTTAATTAAAATAAATGAATCATATAATAACACATTATGATAATATTATGCAATAGTATTTTAACTATATTATTTTTGTTTTCTTAATGAATTAAAGTCATTTAATTATTTAATGAGTTAATTACTTTTTAATTATTAAAAGAAAATAAAAATTATAACATTTTAAATGCTGGGACTTTATAAAAATTTTTTTTTTAATATCTTTTAATAAACCTTCCTTTCATATTGTTTCATTTAAATGTATTTTAATATTTTATTATTATTTTTAACATTTTAATTTTTAACTATTGTAGTTTTCCTTAATCCCGTCATTAAATATAATCTAAATCTGTAACCAAAAACGCACTCCCACCAAATAGAATTAAAAATGTGTCGATATGGATACCAACAAATAACAATAGATTCGTGTCATTGTTACACGCAGCATTTGAAAGATATTTTTTTAACCTACGTTTTAAACGGTATATTTTTAATATAAATATATATAAAAAAAAAGTTAAATTAATTTTAGTATCAGTGATAAGATGATGAATTTACATAGATAATTAATAAATTAAAAGTTAATTTTTATATTTTTAATATAAATTTATTATTAAAAAATATATTTATTATATTTTTAATTTATACTTTAAAAAATACATGTTACAAAAATTCTATTTGAAATTAGGCTTTTCAAATCAAAGGGCATATGTTATGGATATAATAAATGTACTTTTTAATTATTAAATTATAAATAAACACAAAAATTAACATTACTTTAGCACTAATGCCATATATATGATTTTAATTGGTTAATTAATAAAATTAAAGTTAAATTTTATTTTTTATATAATTTAAAGGAAAAATTCTTTTGTAGTGAGTTCATCAAACTTTTTTCTTTAAATTAAGTGAAAGCAAATTTTAAATCTTATATTATATAAATAGAAATGCTCTAACTAAATTTTTCATAAGTGGATTAGAATTTTTTAAAAGGTCAATAATATCCTTTTTTTGGCAAATTATTAGAATATTAAGTGCCCATTAATTTTAATTAAATAAAAATTAAAATTTTAAAAAGAATAATAAGTGAAACTTTCTTTCGATTTTTTTATTATTTTGATTAATGATTTTTTTAATAACTGAATCTAATCAAAAAAATTCAATTTTAATTACCAAAAATTTATTTTCTTTTTTTAATATGATCCATTCAATTAACAAAATACACCACAAGCTTACTCCTTTCTCCTATTAATTTTAGTAGGTTTCAAAAGTTAAAACGCCAAAACTCAAGGCTCAAATGTGATACTATCACAAAGTCTTGGGTCGTAAATAGAAATTAAAAAACCAATGGGGGTTCGTTCTGAAATAATGCAAAAACATGGAACAATGAATCAATCAAAAGGCGGCGAATTTTCGTGCAAGGGCGACATAGCAAAATGATTCCTTGTTATCCCGGAGTTTTGAGAGTTTTCCGGTCTTCCCTCTGTTCTGTTACATCCAGAGCAGAGCTACTACAATGGCAGATGATAGCTTCGCTTCCCATAAAAGAGACCCTATTAAGTCCTCGGGTTCTTCCTTTTCTCCTTTGATTCTAGGTTTTTTATAGCGGAAATTGCTGGATTGGGATGCCATCATTTCCCAGTAAACAATATGATTAGTAACCAATTTTTTGGGAAAAACGTGTCCCCAAGGGTAAAGAAAGATCAATTATTGGGGTGAGGAATGCTAATTGAAGTTCGGTTTTGTAGTTGGGACTGTTGCGGAGCAAAAGAGGCGGCAAAACGCGGTTACGGTGGGGAAGGAGAGGAGGAAATCGTTGGTGCGAGCCAAGAGATTATGTAGAGTGGGGACTAGCGGTGAGACTGACGTTTCTGCTGAAAACGATATGATGATTGATAATGAGCAGTCCATTTTGGGGGCCCAAACTGCTTCAGCTGTGGAGGAATTGAAGTCTGCCACTGCTTACCAGTGCGTCAATCTTAAATTTCCTTGCTGCTACAGTTCTTAATCTTAAAAAAGAAAAGAAAAAAAAATCAATTTGATGAATTTATGTGTGATTGAAATAATAATTCTCCAATTCCTTGACCAAACCCAACCCTTCCCAATGTTTTCACCTGAACCCAGAAATGATATATTTTCATAAAGGTGGTAAAACAGTCACCTTCTAGCTTAATGTAGTGAGCCAATATCAGTGGAAAAGTCCTATGGGCATTTTGGTTGGGAATGAAGTACTGCTAACTTGTCATGAGGAGTGAAGATCAATCTATTACTTTTTCATACAAATTTAAAGTGTGTATATAGGTATTGCAAGTGCGTAAGTAAGCATTCATTGTTGATTTGTTTCTTATTGAACTGAAGTTTGTGAAACTTTTTGGTGTTCCTTCTCAGTATGCATGCCGAGGTTTAAGCTTTTTGGGTATCAATTTTTTTCCTTGGTTGAGGCTAGTGTCCTAAGAGCTGTTGTCTTCTAGTTGATTGTATGATTGCTAGGGACTAGGGGCATAATGATTTTTATCCAATGTTTAGTTATAACTGGCAAACTGTGTATTCATTAAACAATTAGGGGAAAGGGTGCAATGCAGAAGAGGGTGAAAGCACTTCGTGAAACTGAGGCGTTTATTGTCAAGATCTGAATTCCCTCCCGTTGAAGCTGCTCCTAAAGCTGGAGCTATACCCTTACTTATGCAGTGTCTTTCATTTGGCTCTCCAGATGAACAGGCTTGAAGAATTGAAGTTATTTTGGACTTCATTGCTTTACCAATAGGAATGTTTCTCTTCCCTCTTAAACATCTAGTTTGTGGCACGAGTTTATCCTTTCCAGTTTCACTTCAGTTAATCATGCATCTAATAGATTTGTGTTCTTCAGACCATTTAGAGTTCTAAGTGAAGTGATAATTCTAGGAATTCAAACAAAAATATTTTGATTTCTTTGTTTTGTCCGTCATACCACAGTTGCTTGAGGTGGCCTGGTGTCTTACAAATATAGCAGCTGGAAAACCAGAAGAAACAAAAGCACTGTCGCCTGCATTACCTTTGCTTATTGCTCAGCTTGGAGGTCAGAGATGACTGGTCTATTCTTTCTCATATTATGGAAGGAAATCTTCTTTGCTTTTTTCTTATCTATTCAAAAACAGAATATTGCACCCTCTTTCAGACAGTAACTTCCAGACAAAAAGCTGGGCTCTTGTAAAATATCATTTTTTTTAGTTTCATATCTTAAAAATTGATATTAATCCCCTCCTAAACTTAGTTTTAATTTGCAAACCCTGTTATATATAACCTCCATGATATTTTTAATATTCCGCCTCTATTAATTGAACAAAATGCCTAATCTTTCAACTAGAAAAGTGTTAATGAGCTAAAAGTATGTCAAAATTTCCTTATTTGTAGAAAAATTCCCTTCCCTGTTGCTGAGCAGTGTGCGTGTGCATTGGGAAATGTAGCTGGTGAAGGAGAGGAGTTGGGGAATGTTTTGCTATCGCAAGGGGCCATACTACCTCTTGCAAGAATGATGCTGCCAAACAAAGGTTCCACTGTGAGAACAGCTGGTTGGGCATTGTCAAACGTTATCAAGGTTTTGGAACCTTTTCTAATCGATGGATTTCACTCTGTTATATGAAATTTATGAACTTCGTTAAAGTACAATTTATGTGGTTGTAGTTCTTTGCATGTGTGACCATATAATTTCAAGTTTTCCTTTGAAACATACCTCAGTGAGCTTGAATGTAGGGACCAGATCCTAAAGCTGTGACAGAACTCATCAGAGTTGAGGGAGTACTAGATTCAATTCTCCAGCACTTACGAAAATTGTAAGTGAAGATTTGAAACTAGCTAAAATGAATTCTGGGTATTACTGATTTTAAAGGCCTTTTGGACTGTGAATTCTGAATATTCTTATGCATGCCATGTGGAGGAAGGATATTGTTTGGAAAGGTTTCTATCATTGATTCTGCTCTTTCATCCAAACCCATGTCACTGCATCTGACTGATCCATTTCTAGGTGCATGAGTCAATGAAAGTAGGACTTGACATTAAAATGCATGGCTAAGAAAGCATATTTTTTAGTCATGTGGAAGATGATTATTGATCTAGAAGTTAGGTTTTTTAGATTGGGATTATTCTTTCTGCCAAGTGGTTTGCCTCTGTCAATTGTGATTTTTTTGGCCATCACTTTAATATAATTTTTTTTTTTCTAGGAAATATTTTCTGGGGAAACTAGATATGCAAATTTATGTTTAACTAAAATTCAGGGATGAGGAGCTGGCAACTGAAGTAGCATGGGTGGTTGTGTATCTCTCAGCCCTTTCCAATTTTGCCACTAGCATGCTCATGAAGAGTGGTGTCCTTCCAGTTCTTGTGGAAAGATTAGCAACATCAAACAGTTTGCAACTTCTCATTCTGGTAAAACGCAAATGACTCCTTTTTTTTTTTAACTTTCTCTCTTGACAATACTGTGACATCAGAGGCCAATATATGATCAGTCCATCACCATTTGCTTTTGCTAGTTTATAGTTGCTGATTACCATTTCCATTATCTACTTTTAGTTTAAATACTTTTCATCTTCGTATGTTTTTGAGTTTTTATGATAGGTGTTAATTTTGCATTCAATTACACATGCATCTTTATAATGAGCAATTCCTGCTCTCTACAATCCACTTGACAAATATTAGTCCTTCTAGGTGCTCAGAAGTTTAGGTAATCTTGTAGCTGTTGATTCACACACGACACAACTTCTACAATTCTCATTCCTGGATGTGAAATCACAGGCAAGTAAATGCTGCACTTTGTAAGCTGCTGAATTAATGTCTTCATTACATTTTAATTATTAACATTTTCAAACATTTAAGGTAATGTGATAAAAGTTCTAGGAAAATGTTTGAAGAGTGAACACAGGGTCTTGAAGAAGGTGAGCAGGTTTATATTCATTGTTTTGGCATTAATCATCATCGGCAATTCTCATTCAAAACTTTGCTGTTATTGTAGGAAGCAGCATGGGTCCTATCAAACTAATTATATCAGTTTTAAGGAAATAAATTAAGGGATATAGAGATGTTTTGTTTTTATTTTTTAATTAAGTTAATAAAGTTATTATCTTGTAAAACAAGAAAAAGAAATTTTAAAATATTATAAAAAATATATGATATTATTTAATTATATTATAATCATGTTTTATTTTGTAATTAGGTCATTCGAGTAATTTGAAAGTAAAATCACAAAATAAATTAATTATATCAGTTTTAAATTTTTATAATTTAAATTAATTTAATTTTACAGCAGTTTAGTTTTTTTTATTATTATTATTAAATTGAATCAATTTAAATTGAATTAATATAATTAAATCAATAAAATTGAATCGAATATGAACACCTTAGTTGATGCCATGGAAAGATGCCAGCTTCATGAAAATGAAGGCTGTAGAAATATGGCAAACGGTATTTTGGGGAGGATTACGGGCTTGACGACTAAAGGTACCTACTGACACCAGGGACCGCATCTCCCTCCCCCTGCTATCATGATCCTTCTCTGAATTTTCTTCCAATCTTTTGTGGTATAGAAACTTGCGGTTTATGAAGTAGACTTTGAATTTGAAGGTCTCCTCTCTATAGCCAACGAAACTTCTGCTGCAAGCCTAGGTCATGCATAGCGTTTGGCTGTGTATACTCTTTAGAAATTGTCTTAATTTTTTTAAAAAATAATAATAATAATAAATAGAGGTGTTTATATCTAATTCAATATAATTGATTTGATTTAAATTGATTTAATTTGATTTATTTGACTTAAACTGTCTTAATTTTTTTAAAAAATAATAATAATAATAAATAGAGGTGTTTATATCTAATTCAATATAATTGATTTGATTTAAATTGATTTAATTCAATAAAAAAACCAAATCAAATCAATATAAAACTATGTTAGTTTGAATTATAAAATTTTAAAATTGATATAATTAGTTTAATTAGTAATTTTAC